CATCTCATCTGCACTGTGCTGAGTGTGAGCAATTTGATTTAACAACTCAATGACAAACTGTTTAGAATGTGGAGCAGAACACCTACGAAGAGTGATTATTATGATAGTACTGAGATTGTATAACTGATCTGTGGTGGGAACCCTCCTTGCCTGTATTTCTCCTCAGTTATGACAGAGTTATGATAATTAAGCTACTCCTGTTCAGGTAAGATGATTGCTTATATAATGGCACCTTTCCTTTAAGTGAATTGTTCAAAGTAACTATGTAAATGAAATGTTCTTGCTCAGGCATATGCAGAGTTATTTGCAATGGACTGTCGTCAATCACAAGTCATTTTGTTTTCATCCTACCTAAATGTCATTGCCCTGACATTTTGCAAAGACATTGGATAGATCTTTTTTATTATTATTAATTCAGCTTCCATAATGGATTTACCATATTAGTGTAGACTTAACAAAGTCATTCCTAAATTAGAATACCTCTTCTGAGTACTCGTATGCTACTGGACAGACTGGGCACCATGAAAGGGGACACCATTGGCAGTTGTGGGAGAATTTTTATTAAAAGTCAATCTGTTTTGCCCAGATGTTGAATTGCTTATATAACATATGTAACACAGTAAAATCCATATCTCTCTTTTCAATGGACTGCACACACTCGGTATAAACAGAGAAAGATCACATACAACCTGGGGTAAAAGCTGCAGCTGCAAATCAACTAGCCTAGTAAAGGCAGTTTAAAAGACTCATTTGGGGTCTTTTTGTATATTTGAAGACTCGTACCTTAGATAAAACTAATATGGGCCAAAATAATCATGCTAGGAAATGATATACTTCTGTAGGCATGTAGTGGAATATAACATTAAAACAAGATGGAACACTAACTGCCAGAGGAGGAAAGGGATGCTGCTGGACTGCACTGTATGGGCCCCCTGACTTACAATGCTGCTGGACTGCACTGTATGGGCCCCCTGACTTACAATGCTGCTGGACTGCACTGTATGGGCCCCCTGACTTACAATGCTGCTGGACTGCTCTGTATGGGCTCCCTGACTTACAATGCTGAAATGCTAGCAAAGGCGTAGCACAACAATGAACAGTGAGAAGACTGAGGCTTCTTATATCATTTTAATATTTTATAACACACTACATTTCAAGGACAGCAGTAACAAACCTCAAATACAGGCGGTCCCATGGTTAGGAAAGTCTGACTTATGTACAACTTGTACATACGAACGGACTGCCATAAAGCCTATATATTGAGAAGTTCAATGAAGTACAATGGTTCGTAATAACAAACGCACATACTACTTTGTTACGCTCATGAAAACATTGTGGGCTTCAGTGGTTCATCGACTGGAGAATATATACTATATACTAAGACGACCATTTGATCAATTGACGCTAAATAAGAACTGTACTGTACATACCTGTTCCCACTTACCTGCAAATTCAACTTAAAGGGAGATTAAGGGAACGGATCTCGTTAGTAGCCTAGGGATTCCCTGGACACCAAAATTTACCGTCGTTATTATTGTCAGATCATGCTTCTCCCATTATTAGCGATCTTTCAGAATCATTTGTATTGCTTTTGATTATATACTTAAGAGAATATCCATAACATTTATGTTATGTTGCAGGCTATTTTCAGATTGGGTTAAACTGATTGTCCAAGAGCAATCAGACAAGAGCCATAATTACAAAGTCATTAGGATTTTTTTTTTTTAGGAATTTTTGCAAATAAAACAAATATATCTCACATTTACATAATTATACAGACCCTTTATTATGTCACACCAAATTGAGCTCAGGTGTATCCTTTTTCATTTGATCAGATTTGAGAAGTTTCTAGAACTTGAAAATCTATTGTCCACCTATAGCAAATGCACATGATTTGGAAAGGCACACAAGATCTTACATCTCCCAGTATACAGCATAAGAAAACTCACATTATGAAGTGCAATCTAATGGCAAATCATGACATTATTCATCCACCAAACTTCTGTAACTGCTCATCCTATTCAGGGTCACAGAGCCTGAATAGGAGGCTATGGGTGCAAGTGGGCGCAAGGCAGGGAACAACCCAGGATGGGGTGCCACCCCTTCACAGGGCACAAGGCAGGGAACAACCCA